AAGTTTGCCGTGCGAACTTCACACAGGGGGCGATATTTACGCCTTGTGTGGGTCTCGGGCACAGGGGGCGATACTTGCGCCATGTGCACAAAGCGTAGCCGGCCACATCCCTTTTGGGATCTAGGGCTTTGAAGAAAAACGGTTCGTAGTGGTCGTGGCTGTCGTAGTCGTCCATCAGGATCCACCTGTCTCGCCGTGGATGTGGAAGACCTGTGTGGACGAAGCAGCAGAAGTAGAGGCTGTGGTGCTCGGTGCCGGCGTAATGGAGAAGTGAGGGTTGGCCCGGAGTCGGTCTGGAATGGGGACCCAAGCACTGGTGCAGTACGCGCACGCGGTGAGGGTCTTCACGTGGTTGCTGGTCCGGCTCCGGGCGCAGTCCTCGCTGCAGTGCCAAGCTCTGCCGTGGGGAGTGACATATAGGTCCCCGATGTGGTGGTAGCATAGGCGGTACTCAGTGTGGTAGTCGAGCGTGCGTTGCTGTCGATGTACGGCAGCGGCAAGTCGCTGGTTGTATCCACGTACCAGCTGCAGGTCCAGGGCCAGGCTCTCTGGGGTTTGGTCCGGGCTGTAGTACATGGCCGTATCCGTCTGACACCACCGAGAAATAGTCTGGGTGGTCGAGGTAGAGCAGGTCTGTGTCGTGGCCTCCGGCATGAAGTCGGTCTGAGTGGCCTGATCACGTGCCTGGTTGGAGGTCATTCGAGTCCACGTTATCAGCCGTTGCATCCAGTCCAGAGGGTGCAGGTAGAGGATCAGCATGAGCACGAGGAGGGGGAAGAACACATAGTAACCCGCCTCGGTGTAGAAATCCAGGGGGAGGGCGGTGTATACCGCCAGGTCGGTCCCGGTGCTTTCACGAACGGCTTCCGAGGTGGCAACCTGGGCCGAAAACACCGCAAAGGCTGCTGCAGTTGCAGCGGCCCTTGGCTGCGCAAACTGCTGCGCACTCTTTTGGCGATCGGCCGAGGTCTTCTTTCTCGACGCCTGATAGGTGTCGTCCGCCACGATCTTGTGCATGTGGGTCCGCAGCCTGTCGGCCAATAGTTGCGTGGCTGAGTCCTTCGTCAAGCCGTCGGCATACTGCCTCTCCGAGGAAACCCATCTGGCTTCCCCGCCAATCTCCCGCAGCTTGTCTCTCGTCGTGAGGGCTTCCAAACACGTCCTCTTGTCTGCTGCCGTGGACACGTAGAGCTCCTCGCGATGCAGCAGATCGAACAAACACTTGGCATCTACAATCAGGGCGCATGGGGCTGTCCACCGGTAGGTGTCGGGCTGCACTTGGTTAACCTTGAAGTTCGGGTCGAGCATGGCCTTCCAAAAGACAACGGTGAAGTGGAGGCAGTCAGCTGCCTCCGCTGCCGCCTGTCCTTCTGCCGCCAGGGTGGACCTGGCGACTCTTGGCAGCTTGAAGGACCTCCAGTCCAGTAGGTGATAGCCACACACCTTGCCGTCCAAAACTGTCTTCGGAGAAAGACAGATCAAGTAGCCGCCTTGGCTGGACAAGTCAGCTCTGCAAGCAAAGGCCGCGTCCGAGTAGGCCACAAACGTGATGTCCTCAATCGTGGCGCCAAGAGGGGCGTACTGCAGCTTGACATCGCTGTTGTTCTTGGCGAAGCGAAGGGCCTTATTCGCCGCGAGGATCGTGGCCACTGTTGCCTTCGGTACCTCACCGGCCAGCATGGAGGTCATCGCCTGTAGGTGAGGGGAGGTCTGGGTGGACGCCCACTGAAGAGCTCCAAGTAGGGCTCGAAGCTGAGTCCTTTCCTTTTCCGTCACCGGGCTGTCGTGGTTGGCCATGCGGCCCTTGTCAAGCGTGATCGGTTTCAGCTTCGCCAGGTAGTTGCCATGTCCGCAGCTGTGTCCTCCATGGGCCTCCTTTGACATGCTCACCCCCATGGAACTCGAAGACATCCTGGTCTTCGTGGAAGTCTCTGAACGAAAAGAGTTCGATGAGACTCTCCTTGATATGCTTCCTGTTCTCGGGGGCCGTGGTGCCAAGCAAATCGTCCACGTGCAGTCCCACGGCGCATCGTAGGTCCGGGGCATAGTACAGAAGGAGACACGCATCGAGCGGATGTTTGACAAAGCCAGCTTGCTCCAACCTCCTGGAGGCTTCGTCAAACCACGCTCTGGGAGCGTCGCATAAACCGTACATCGGTTTCCGTAGTCTCATACAGACCTTGGGATCGGTGATGCCGAGGAGCTGTCTGGCGTCTGCTGGCAGGCGTACCCACAAGGTTGCGTGTTCGCGTCCCTGAAGGAATGCCGTGGAGACATCCGCCACGAAGGTAGTCCACTGCTTGAGGGTGGTGAGGCTGAAGAGGGTCGTGCGGCCGAGTCGGGACAAAGTGGGGGACGTCGAGTCCACCAAGCCAGCCAGGGCGTCTGGGTCCCGAAACCCCTGAATGATAAGCCGGGCCTTGGCGCGAGGGGTCCCGTCCGAATTCTTGGACCACTTCAGGATGAAATGGGCCTTGAGAATGCGTCCTGCAGGTGCCTCCGCCTCGGTCGCAAACTCCCACACGGAATTCGTGAAAAAACGATCCCAATTCTTTTCTTTTCGCATCGATGAACGCCAGCCTGTCCGACAAGCTGAGGGTGCGTTCGTTCAATGTTTTGGCATCTTTCTGCCTCTTTTCCTTCGGTCCCCCATAGGTAGGTGCCCCGCTGGAGCTGGTGTAGAATGCCGTCTGGGCCATGTGGCGGTCCCGGTTGGCGATCTTGAAGATCGTGCGTCCTGTCCACCAGCCACCCTCCTTGTACTTTGCGTTGCGCCAGCGATCCTGGTGGCAGTGGCCTCCCTGGTAGGTGTTCCTGACTTTCGTCAAAACTTCAACCGGTACGGGGCAGTCGCCAGACTCCTGCGGATGGAAGAGGGTGTTCCTGGCCACATAGTGGTGCCGAATGAGACTGGAACCTTTGATCTCCCAGGTGTCGAAGACCTCGTCAAGGACCATGTAGCCATTCTCGTTGATGGTCCATCCCTCAGGTAAGTAGTCGGGCTGTGCCTGTTCTCCTGCCTCACCCTCCAGCACGTCAACGGTGAACCCGTACTCGGTAGTTGGCCCATGTCCTGGGTACGGCTGGGGTCTGTCGCCAGGAGCAGGTGGTTGTGGACCATAGCTGATGGTTTCGCTCCGATCTAATCGAGCTCTCCTCTGATTGAAGGTCTCAAAGGGAGGTGCCCTGAACGTAGGATGTACCTCTGGAGCAGGTGGTTGAGGACCATGGCTGGTGGTTTCGCTTCGATCTATCCGTGCTCTCTTTTGGTTGAAGGTCTCGTTGGCACCCGCCTCAAAGATCGGATGTAGGCGGTGCTGGCTTCCTTGTCCTGGGGACCGTGTCTCCGAGTTCGAGGGAGGCGTCGGGGTGCTCGCTCCGGTGAAGGTTCCTGGTCTGTCCGCCGTAGAGGGGGCCGTAGTAGAGCTTGTAGACGCGTTGCCACCTCCATTCCCGTCCTCATCATCGTCCGTATCTGGATCGACGTCCGGGTCATCGTCACCACCTTCCTCACTGTCGGGGTCCTCTGCCTCAGCCAAAACGAGGTCATCATCATCCTCGTCGCCATCGTTGGCCGAAGACGTAGGTGAAGTCGCTGGCTGTGGTGATTGCGCTGGTGGGCCACCAGCAAGAGGCTGGGGGGGAGGGGGTCCCCTCGGCCGAAAAGTGCCGCCAAGCGAATGCAACGTGGGGGTAGGAGACACCGGCGACGGGAGCTCGGCGGAGTCCAGGAGGCTCGGCAGAGGTGGGTGTCGGAGTGATTTCCAGGTCCTCGCCGGCGGGTTGTGGAATTGGAGGTCCGGGTGGTGGTGGAGGAGGTGCTCCCGGTGGCTGGTCGCCTTCATCATCAGTGCCCTCCTGGTCGGTGTCGGCCAAGTCTTCCCGTCGGCGTTTGCGGTTGGTGCGGAAGAGGTCGATGTAGACGGTGGTGCCCCGGTTCTGGACTTTGCGCACCAAGTCGTGTAGAGCTGGTGTGTCGGCAGCCAGGGTGGCGATTGTCGGCTTTCACCACTGCTGTGGCCGCTCTGACGCGGCATTCCATTTTATAGTGAAAGGCCGTGCTGGGGTCGAGGTGGCTGTAGTTCACGTTCGAGTCCAGCAGGCTGCCGGGAACCGTGGGCTGGTAGCCGAGGACCCATTGTGTCGGGCTGAAACCACCCACGGACAGGCTCTGGTTGAGCTGGGGCACCACGAATGTGAGGGCCTCGATGAGGGCCTCTGGGCCTGATCCGGTGGGGGGATTGTCCTCCAGATACATCTCAACGGCTCTTCGTAGAACCTGATGGCGGCGTTCCAGTTGCGCCAGGCGTTCATGTGCCTCTCCCGGGGAGATGATGAGCTCAATGCCGTGCTCGGTGGTGAAGTGCATCATTTCGTCACTTCCCCATGCACGGTGGCTGTCCACGAAGAGGGTTGTTGGAGGGCCAAACGTGCGGATCCATCCGCGCTGGAGGGCGACAATAAACTCGCTAGTGGTCTCCTTCGTAACAAACCGCGCGGCCAGAAAGCGGGTGGCCGCATCCATCATGGTGATGACGGGCAGGGTCTTGTCAGAGACCTGCAGCCAGATCGTATCTGACAAAAGTCGCTCATTGAACCGGTAGGTGGTCCGCAAGGTGGACTTGGGTGTCTGAGCGGGAGGAGCCAGCTTCTTGCACGTCGGACACTGGTACTTCTGGGCCGCTTCGTAGACCATGCGGCTTGCGCCGCTCTGAGCAAGGATCGTGCTCAGATCCTTGTTGTTGGGATGGCCCATGTTCCGATGGATCCGTGCCACGATCCTGTTGGCTTCCGCAGAGGTCTTGCACTCGAGCTTCTTGAGGCAACCAGTGGGCCTTGTAGACGTCGGAACCGGTCCTGGCAGTTCAAGGGGGGGCGGCTCCTCGTACTGTCCCTTCTTTGGACGAGGTGTCGTAGATGAGGTGCGCCGTCGCCTGCTTCCATGTCTTGGAGCGAGGGTAGGTCCAGCCCAGCAGCATCCGGATCTTCCGGGGTCACTCTCGGGTAGAGGTCGTCGTCCTCGGGTGGCTCGCAGTCTGAGGGCTCGTATTCCTCCATGTCCACGTCGGAGGCCGGAAGGGCTTCCTCAGTGGCGCACCCGCCATAGACGAAGTAGGCGTAGTAGGCTCCTTCGAGGCATTCCGCAATTCGGTCACACATCGCCGGTTGGTAGGTAGCGGCCGCCTTCGCACGGGAGCCCAGGCGGGCACACTGTCCCAGTAGAGCCTGGTGCTGGTGGGAACCATTGCATCTGTAAGCGCCGAGGTTCTTGATCGGCGTGTCAATCCTGTGGAGGTTGGGGAGAGTGGCTCCCAGTGCACACTGGTCCACGTGGATAGCCAGGCCCAGGTCGTGGAAGGCGGGGGTAGACCAGGCCTTAGAGCTCAATGGGTGCTCCAGAACCACGATTCCGTACTGGGACATGCGCAGAAACACCCGACGCGTGAACTTGAGGTGCGTGTGGTGGTGGTAGTCGCGGGTGGCTTCCAACAGTTCCCGGTCGTGGTCATTGCGGACGTTCATGTTCTGGAGCGGTGACCACTTGGTTCACGGCAGCATTTAGGCTTCTCGAAGTCCCATTCTGGCAGGTCGAAGGACTTCACCTGGAAGCCTCGGGCGGCCATAGCCGCAGAGAGGTTTCCAGACCCGCTGTAAACTTCCCAGAACGTGGCGTTGGAGGTCTCTGCCGCACGGTAGGCGGACTCCAAGATGCGGTCCAACTGCTTGCGGCTTCTATTGATGCCATAGCCGATACTCTTCCAGATGGTGCACGGGAGGGGACACTCGACGGCGGGGGAAAGGCCGCTCGTGGAGTTAGACATTCTCAAGAGGCTCGTTGGGCTCGGTAGTCCGAACAGCCGCGGCCGTCATAGTGTCCTCCTCGAGGAAAGCAGGTCCTGGACGTCCGGTCTCCCGAAGGTAGGTGCCCATGTCAAGGAGGGCGCCTTGGGAGGTGAAGGTATCGACACAATCGTCAGTGACATAGTCAAAGGCGTACTCGGAGTCCAGGGTGTCGGGGCTGAGGCCATCGTCGAGGGCCAACAGATACTCGCCCTTGGGTCCGACGAGGGCCTCCGTCCATGGCTCGCCCATGATCGAGACCTTGTCGTGGTCGTAGTCCATCTTCACCTTCAGGGCCTTCAGGATCGGGCGCCCGACCAAGATTGGCATCTCGCCGGGCACCAGGAAGCACTGTATACGTCCCCGGACGTCTCCGACCCACACAGGAAGGTGCAGGCACCAGTCTGCCATCGATCTGTTGTCTCCACCGAACAGGAAGGTCTTGTGGGTGCGGGCGAAGAGGAGCTGCGGCCTGAGCCTGCCATCATCGCCTCGCCCTTCTGGCGCTTGGAAGGGGGTCCGGGCGAGGTAGTGGAAGGCGGCGGTCTAGGGCACTGGACTGCCTAGTGTCCTGGTTGTCCGCAGCGTAGACACTTTGTAGCATCTGCCCGGGCTCTTCCTTTGGGAGGAGGTGCTGTCGGTCGTGGTAGTCCGCCTTTGGAGGTGCCTTTAGGCTTCCCTTTTCCGCCGCGACCTTTTCCGGTCTTGCCTTTCGAGGATCCACCTTGGTCCACAACGGCCACCACGGGGTAGTAACCCCTAGAGGCCTTCACCTCGGCGAGGCGCCGCCGGGCGTCAAGGTAAGCGGCGTAGGCTTCCTCCGTTTCATCGTCTTCCTCATCCAAGCCATAGTAGGTGGACTCCACGGGGTCCTCCGCGGGCAGGTCTGGCTCCTCGACCTCGTCGTAGGCATCCTGCTCGTCTTCATTGTAGCCGGGCTCGACCTCTTCGGGGTAGTCGAGGTCCTGGTAGTCCTGGTACTCTTCATCCTCGCGGTGTAGGCGTAGTGGGCTCTTGAGGGCTGCCATCGGTAGCTGCTGTATCCTCGGCCGCGTCCCGTTGGGCGGTGGCTCTCTGTTCGAGAGCCCTTGTAGTCCTGGCCGAACAGATAGAACAGAGACTGCTCGACCGCCGCCATACTGAGCTTCTTGTTCTCTAAGTACCAACTGGCGCTGCTCCTGTGATAAAGAGGATCGGCGGAGGAGCAACCAGCCTCCTACCGGGTCTGGCAGCTTGACATCATGTTTCTCCAGTTCTCTCGCGGCCTCCCGGTGGTTGGAACAGTAGTGGATCAAAGTCTGTCCCGGAGGGCGCGAGAGTCCATAAAAGAACTTCTCGAAGGCCTTGGGCATCTCAACGCGGGCGTCGTACTGGTACACGCGGTCGAGCTCTTTGAGGATCGTCTCGAAGCCATCCTCCTGGTCCGGAGCCGTGTCTGCAAGGTGCTCCACCTGCTTCCATACCGGTCCTGCCAGGCTTGTCAGCAAATTGATCGTGGCCTCGGCCTTCTTATTGCTCAACGCCATCTTCTTGAAGTACAGGTTCACCCGCATCCGGTACTCTCGGTAGCTGGAGGGCTGGCCATCAAAGATCGGGATGTAGTTATCCCGAACCACTTCTGGTGCCGCGGTAGCGCCCTGAGTCGTATCCGAGGTTCCGGAGCCCTTGCCTTGGGTGGTGCCACGTCCACCGCCCATGGTCACCACGAAGAGGGAGGGGACGATGTAGTTCCGAAGTCCCGGTCCCAAGGAGCGTCTCCAACGCTCCGCTACCAACTTGAAGAAGTCAGCAGCTTCTGTC